TAGGACATTTGGTGGCTCAAGGACTTAAACAAAAGCCATATTACTAATGCCAAAGTCAGGATACTATGTCTCTTAGTAATTCTTGCTATTGCAACTTAACTGAAATTATTAGACTCAATTTAAAAATTAGTGGATTCAAAAAAAATTACTGAATTCAGATCTAAATGTAAAATGTTACAGGTTTTAGAAGAAAATGAATGCATTAGAATTTGATGGCCAAAAACATATAATGAAAAACTAAAGGGATGCTGGTAGGCTTATTCTAATGAGATCCAGTGAGATCTAATCCTTTATCTCAGTGGGAAAACGACAGTAGTGTCAACTCTTAAATCAGATGGGATATGAGGGCAGAGTCTCAAAGCCTTTAGAATTTGAGAAATGAAATTTAGGCACATCTGAAGATCTGACCTCCGAGAATCCCATGTACTTTATAAGGTCCATTTGAACTTGTTTTAAGGAACTTGCACCTTGTCAGAGCAAGAGTTGCCAGAGGTTTCGGATGTTAAGGACACTTTTTCCTCTTAAAACGTGGAGACGGCACAAGGAAAACACACACTGGAGAGTACATGTCAGAGAAGCTCAATCAAAATCATTGTGAGTTTGATGGGAAGGGGGACACATGAAACAAGAACATAGAGGTGTATGGTAAAATTATTTGCAGTTTACTGGCTCTTCTAATGACTTGAGAATATAGTTTCATTTTTTAAAAGATTTTATTTATTTATTTGACAGAGAGAGAGAGAGAACACAAGCCGAGCAGCAGACAGAGAGAGAGGGGGAAGCAGTCTCCCCGCTAAGCAGAGAACCCGATGTGGGACTCAGTCCCAGGACCCTGAGATCATGACCTGAGCTGAAGGCAGAGGCTTAACCCACTGAGCCACCAGGTGCCCCATAGTTTCATTTTTAACACTGTAAAGAGAAACCCCGATTTATTTATTTATTTATTTATTATTTTATTTAATTTCCATTTTACTTTATTTTTACTTATTTCTTTTAATTTTAATAGAAAATTACTTTGAAACTCTTGTCATCAGTCTTTTCTTAAAAACGCTATTCTTATTTTTTAAGTATTTATTCAAATTCCATTTAGTTAACATACAGTGTAACATATATAATTATGCATTTATAAAATGTTTAGTATGTATTTATACATATGTGTGTAATATATATATATATACAGTTTATAATATATATTTTACATATGTATGTATTGTACCCATAGAGTGTATATATATCACAGTGCAATATTAGTTGTACAATATAGTAATTTACACTTGAATAAAATACCTGGTGCTCATCACAAGTGCTTTCCTTAATCCCCATCTCCTATTTCATTCTCTCAGCTGCTTCCTGGTTACTCTGGTAACCCTCAGTTGGTTCCGTATAGTTAAGAATCTTTCTATTTTTCCTTTGTTCATTTGTTTTGTTTCTTAAATTCCACACATATGAAGTTATATGGTATTTGTCTTTCTTTGATTGACTTATTTTGCTTAGCATTATCGTCTCTAGATTATCCATGTTGTAAATGACAAGATTTCATTCTCTTTTATAACCAATAATATTCCATTATGTATGTATGTGTGTATATATGTGCATGTATGTGTGTGTGTGTATATATATATATATATATACACCCTTCCTCTCTTCCTTTAATCAAAAATAAAATATTAATGTCTTTTAATTCCTATGTGAAATTCCATTCTCTTTCATTTACTCAATTTTGCATTATTAAAAAATTACCTTTCAAAACAAAACAAAATGTGATATCAAATTATTAGAAAAAGTCATTTTTATAAGTGATCTTTTTAAACAAGGAATTCCTTGCCCAAAGTCCATGAAAGTAATAGAAATATATGTTTTGTCCTTTAGATATGTTAAAATATTTGATATTGGAGCACATGTGTGTGGCTCAACTGGTTGAGTGTCTGACTCTTGATTTCAGCTCAGGTTATGATTTCAGAGTGCTGGATCAAGCCCTGCATCAGAGTCCATGCTCAGTGGAGAGTCTGCTGGAGATTCTCTCTTTCCCTCCTATTCTCTAAAATAAACAAATAAATAAATAAATATTTAACAAATAAATTTAAAATTATCTGATATTTATATGCACATATTTTTTACATCGAAATATGGCTTTGTATCCCATTACCCCAGTAATTTTGTGGAAATGGGTGGCTTCAAAGCACTGCATAACACAAAATGAAAAACAGTTTTTTTTTTGGTTTTATACATTTAACTTAATCAAACATATTAAACTATAGGAAATTTCATATTAAATTTAATAATTGTTTTTGATTACATAAAATATTAATAATTGTCTCTGATTACAATACCTCTAGGGGTGACTCTCAGATGTTAAAATAAATGTTGGTTTTATTAATAAAAAATTATGTTCATGTGTGAGACAAAGTCAGCATTGGTCAAACTGTATATATATATCTATTTTGCACTTCTCAGAATTATAGATTAATAGGAGTTCAACAAAATGGAACTTGACAGAAGTTGAGAAATCATCACATTGAAAGTAGCAGAAACTACATAAAGAATCAATAGAAAGTTTAAGCCTACTTTTCCAGGTGGAAAATAGAACATCAGAGTAGGCACAAAGGAAACTTCAAACTCAGTGTCACTTGAAGAAGAAATAATTATTGCTCTTTTTCCAATGCACGTTGTGTTGAGGCTGGATTACTCAGATAATTAAGGCACTTAAATTAAAATGATTGAAAGGTTTTCTATAGATAGAAAAGCCTAAGTAAGATAGTGATTATCAATTGCCACTACCTTTAGCTTTCAAGAGAAACTCCATGTCATGGGTTTTAAATTTGATGATTGGGAAGATGAATGGTAATGCAGAAGAAATGCACTCAGGAACAGGGGCTTCTCAAAAGTCTGACTGAGAACAGGGAAAGGCTGATGAGAAAGATTCCATGGTGGTGGAAACATTTATACATGTAGTACTCAATTAGAACCTTGTGTAACAAATGCTGGGTTTCACTTACAGAGGTTAAGGAAAATTATTACTATTACTATTACTATTACTATTATTATTATTATTTAAAATTAGAGTGTTCACTGAGAAAGCCCACATATTGTGAGGGGTTGAAACAGGCTGCATGGAGATCTAAAGAAATTGTCACTAAAGTGATATTAAAGTAAAATTAAAGGTGATAGGTATTAAGGAGGACATGTGTCGTGATGAGCACCACCCGGTGGTGCTAATAAATCATTTAACCCTACACCAAAAACCAATGACGTACTCAATGTTGGCTAACTGAACATAATAGTAAAAAAAAAAAAAAAAGAAAAGAAAAAAAGATAAGGATGATCTGAGGGACAAAAAATATGACCACAGAACTCCCCGATGGAGTTTGTGAGTGATCATGGATTAGAAGTCTGGTGTGAGTCTAAAATGGCAGGACACACAAGAACTAATGATGTATTTTATGGTGACTAACATAACACAATAAAAATTTAAAAAATAAAATGGTAAGAAACTCTGTATTTCTCACATCTCTAATATTTGCTTGTTCTTGGTATTAAATAAATTCTTGCTAGTGTTGCATGGTAAAAATCTGCCTTATAGTCTTAAATTTTATTCTTTTCATAAGAAAATCGTACTATACATTTTCAAACCAAGTTGCAAAATTACCAGAGTAGTTTTCTGTTTTGTTTTTGTTTTTGTTTTTGGTTTTTTTTTTTGGTAAATATCTGCACAAAAAGAATAGCAAATAATATTGATATTATCTTTCTAAATATTTTATCTATTTATTTGAGAGAGAAAGCATGCAATAGAGCATGAGTGGGTGGAGGAGCAAAGGAAGGAGAATCTGACCCCCTGCTGAGCAGGGAGGCCCTAATATAGGCTGGATACAAGGACCCTGGGATCATGACCTGGGCTGAAGGCAGATACTTAATGAACTGAGACACGCAGGTTCCCCATTGGTGATATTTTCACCAAAAAATAGTTCCTTTGTTTTTTTCTTTTTTTTTAATGAAAACATGGGATAAACCTTAATGTCTTTCAATGAAAAGTGCATAATATATTAGAATATAAACTAACATTAATAATTATTTAAACAGTTTTCAATATGCTACAAAGGAAAATTTATCCATGACTTTGTTTTTTTTTTTTTTTACTTTTTAAAATTTTTAAATTATTTTTTTTTCAGTGTTCCAAGATTTATTGTGTATGTACCACACCCAGTGCTCCATGAAATACATGCACTCCTTGAAACCCACCACCAGGTGCACCCAAACCCCTAACCCCCTCCCCTCCAAAACCCTTAGTTTGTTTCTCAGAGTCCACAGTCTCTCATGGTTCATCTTCCTCTCCAATTTCCCCCAACTTGCTTCTTCTCTCCAACTCCCAAAGATATTCCTTGTGCTCCACAAATAAAGGAAACCATATGATAATTGACTCTCTCTGTTTGACTTATTTTACTTAGCATAATCTCCTCCAGTCCCAGCCATGTTGATACAAAAGTTGGGTATTCATCCTTTCTGATGGAGACATAATATTTCCAAAGGCAAAGGAAACAGAAGCAAAAATGAACTTTTGCGACTTCATCAAGATCAAAAGAATCTGCACAGCAAAGAAAATTTATCCCGGACTTCTAACCTACATCATCATTTACATCAATTAGGATATTTATGCATAACAAATATGCATTGTATTATAATTAGAATTATGTAGCCAATTCTGCAATTCTTGCTGAAATACATTTACTCAAAAATCATTTCAAGTATTGAATTCAGGAGGGAAGTGGAATTATTTTCATCTTTCACAATGAATGTAAATCTAGTTATATTGGACTGTTATGTTTATAGCTGTTTTATACCTGAGTAAACTATGCATATATATATCCTGGTACTTTAAATTTTCCAACTATCCCATGATGCTAAAGTATACATGTTTCAAAAACAAAGATGCAAATAATATTTTGCTATTTTAATATAACTTTTTTTTTCTTTATTCGACAGGTTGCTTTTAATTTTAAAATATAATGAATCAAACGCTTATAATGGAATTCTTGCTTCTGAGATTTACGGAAAGCCAGATGCTATTGAGTCTATATGCTGTGCTCTTCCTACTGATCAACCTAGTGGCAGTAGTGGAGAATTTAATTATCGTCTTGCTCACAATTCTTGACCAACGCCTCCATACTCCAATGTACTTCTTCCTAAGACACTTATCCTTCCTAGATATGTGTCTCATTTCTGCCACAGTCCCCAAATCCATCCTCAACTCGATCACCTTCACTGACTCCATCTCTTTTCTGGGATGTGTGTTACAGGTCTTCCTTGTGATACTAATGTCTGGGTCTGAAATTGGCATTCTCACTGCGATGTACTATGACTGCTATATTGCCATCTGTCGCCCTCTGCATTATGAGGCTTTATGAGCAAAGAGGTCTGTGTCCAGCTGGTGTTTGTCTCCTGGCTCTGTGGAGGGGCTTTTGGAGTCTTGTACACAGTTGGGACATTCTCTTTAAATTTTTGTGTGTCCACTGGGATACAACAACTATATTGTGATGTGCCTGCCCTGCTGAAGCTCACTTGTTCCATGGAACATGCAACTATTAATGTCAGTGTGGCCATTGAGGTCTGTTATGGATTTTCATGTTTAGTTTGCATTGTGGTCTCTTATGTTTATATTTTCTCCACTGTGTTAAAGATCCCAACCAGAGAGAAGCAGTCCAAAGCCTTTTCCACCTGCTTGCCTCACCTCATTGTGGTGAGTACTTCTCTTCTAACAGGTGCTATTGCTTATTTAATGCCAACCTCTGATAAGCCTTCTATTCCTGACTTGTTCATGTCTGTGTTCTATTCTGTGGTACCCCCAGCTTGGAACCCTGTTATCTACTGTCTGAGGAGCAAAGATATTAAATCAGCTCTTCATAAAGTCCTGTGGAAGGTTAAAAGGAGTGGATTAACGGAAAGATGACTAAAATTGAAGTTAGAAAGTAGGAATTTCTTTTTTATTCCATAATTATCTAACTGTTTGGGATTCTTTGTATTAGAGATCAATACATCATGGAGTCTTGTCAGTAATGGTCCCTGTTTGTCAATTTTTCCTCCCATTTCAGAGAGAGAGAGAGAGATGAAGCATGAGCAGGGAAAAGTTTCAGAGGGAATGGGAGAAGTAGACTCCAGACTGAGCAGGGAGCCAAATAAAGGGCTTGATCCCAGGACCCCAGGATCATGACTTGAGTCAAAGGCAGTTGTTTAAGGAATTGAACCTCTCAGGCACCATTCAGATTCTCATTTATAATAGAAAATAATCTCTTATACTCTTATACTTTCTATCTTAATTATAAAGAAATTATGAAGTTTCTTCTCATACATCTTCAGTTATTTGAACTTCTGTGCTGAGCTACATATATATGAGATTTACATGAGGATTTTAATTCCTCCAAAACTATAATCTTCCATCACATTTCATTCATATTATTTTTAATATCATAGATTTTGCATCAATGTTTTATTTATTTCACTTTATAGCCTTTGTTTTTCAATATATGGAATTTGATTGATTGATTTTAAGTAGGCTCCACACCTATTATGGATCTTGGTATGGGACTTGAACTCAGGACCCTGAGATTGAGAACTGATCTTGGATCCAGAGTCAGTATGTTTAAAAAACTGAGCCAACCAGCAACCCTGAAATTTGATTTTAATATAAAATTATTTTGAATAAATTTTACACTTTAAGAAAATGGTCAATTTGCTCAGAAGTTTCAGTTACTTAACTAATATATGTCTGATGATGGATGTTATGACATTTCCCATATATTTAAAATGATTCTCTTGATCTTGTTTCTTTTGATGAAAATCATATTTTCGTAATCAGATATTTTATTTTTCTTATGTAAATTAACTTTTACCAAATGTGTTGATGCTAGCTAGTTACTGGGTTAATTTTTTTTTAAATAATGTTGGAATTTATGAAACTAGCATCTCTCTCATTGTGATGAATCCCACGTCCACTTTTGCCAGATTTCAGTATCATATAACATTTCAAATAGCTTAAATATTTAAAATTATTTTCATATTTGGCTGCAGAAAACTGTCTTCTCACTTTTATTCTTCTTGCTGCTTTCTCCACATATTCTTTATTAAAATATAAATTAATATTTGTGTATTACCTTCACTATATCAGACACTTATTCATGCACCATCTCTACTAATGTTTTCAACCAATGTGAAGTCACGTGAATATAGTTAAACAGACGGAAAATGGCGACTGAGAGAAGAGGGTTAGCATGTATTCAAGCTATATGGCCCATAACATAGCGATGGAAAGTGGTATCCCATGATGCTAAAGTATAAAAAAATACCTTTCTTGTCTGTAGCAATATTTCTCAATCTCTGTATACTCATCATTGCATTTTTGAAGCTTATATTACCCTCCTCATGAAATCTTCTATTTGTCCTAAACATTTCCATATTTCAAAGTCTAACTTTAATAACAGCTGGTATAGAGAATTATGAGAGCTCTTATTTGCACATTTCCCAATCTCTAAATCTTTGTACACAGTTGATGGAAATGGTTTTGAAAGCCATTCTAGTGAGAATCATACATATAGTTAATTAAAAACCTTATATATCTATCAGAATCCTAGAGGAGAACATAGACAGTAATCTCTTCGATATCAGCCATAGCAACTTCTTTCAAGATATGTCTCCAAAGGCAAAGGAAACAAAAGCAAAGATGAACTTTTGGGACTTCATCAAAATCAAAAGCTTCTGCACAGCAAAGGAAACAGTCAAGAAAACAAAGAGGCAACCCACGGAATGGGAGAAGATATTTGCAAATGACAGTACAGACAAAAGGTTGATATCCAGGATCTATAAAGAACCCTTCAAACTCAACACACACAAAACAGATAATCATATAAAAAAATGGGCAGAAGATATGAACAGACACTTCTCCAATGAAGACATACAAATGGCTATCAGACACATGAAAAAATGTTCATCATCACTAGCCATTAGGGAGATTCAAATTAAAACCACATTGAGATATCACCTTACACCAGTTAGAATGGCCAAAATTAGAAAGACAGGAAACAACATGTGTTGGAGAGCATGTGGAGAAAGGGGCACCTTCTTACACTGTTGGTGGGAATGCAAGTTGGTGCAGCCACTTTGGAGAACAGTGTAGAGATTCCTCAAGAAATTAAAAATAGAGCTTCCCTATGATCCTGCAATTGCACTACTGGGTATTTACCCCAAAGATACAGATGTAGTGAAAAGAAGGGCCATCTGTACCCCAATGTTTATAGCAGCAATGGCCACGGTTGCCAAACTGTGGAAAGAACCAAGATGCCCTTCAATGGACAAATGGGTAAGGAAGATGTGGTCCATATACACTATGGAATATTATGCCTCCATCAGAAAGGATGAATACCCAACTTTTGTAGCAACATGGACGGGACTGGAAGAGGTTTTGCTGAGTGAAATAAGTCAAGCAGAGAGAGTCAATTATCATATGGTTTCATTTATTTGTGGAATATAACAAATAGCATGGAGGACACGGGGAGTTAGGAGAAGGGAGTTGGGGAAATTGGAAGGGGAGGTGAACAATGAGAGACTATGGACTCTGAAAAACAATCTGAAGGGTTTGCAGAGGTGGGGGGGTGGGAGGTTGGGGGAACCAGGTAGTGGATATTAGAGAGGGCACAGATTGCATGGAGCGCTGGGTGTGGTACAGAAACAATGAATACTGTTATGTTGAAAATAAATAAAAAAATGATTAATAAAAAATAATTTAAAAAACCTTATATATCATTACTGATAAGCAAATTGATTTAACACACAGCAACTGTTTTTCAGTGATGCCTACGTGAAAAGTCCATACATAAATTTTGATTTCTTTTTATAGTCCAAATCATAGTTCTTATCATATGATAGTTACATCATCACTTCTCCTTTAACATACTTTTGATATCAATTCACTTTCTCTTCTTTTCAAGTATACCACAAATTTAATTATGTATTTTCAGGAAGATAAAATATTCCACTAAATAAATATTTCAATTTTGAATGAACACCTATTATAAAAGCATTGAGATATGAAAACATGTTTATCTTAGAATTAAGGACATGAAATAGTACATTTTTAAGAAAAATCATAAAAAGTATGTTGCAAATTATGCAATTATACATATATAGACATAAGAACACAACCCAATTTTCAATTTGGGTAAAGCAGAATTAATGAGCAGTATAAGGAATTAGAACTGAGATTATTTCTTTTGTTTTCTATAAAGAAAGAGACTTGTAACAATTCATGCATCCTTTGGTAATGTAATATTGCAATAATAGAGCTTATTACTTTGGCACTTTTGCTATGAAATACTTTCTCCATCATCTTGGTCCTCCTTTGCCTACTCCATGGAACTTTAAATTTGCAATATATTATTTTTTCTATATATTTTTATGATATTATATAGTATAATATACTCGAATGCATTAGATTGGGACACGGCATAACTATTGAGATTGTGCAAGCTTGTAAGTCACTTCTTTCATGACATCCCAGTCTCTTTCCCCCAAAACATTACTAATACAATAATTATTCAGATAAAAATTAGTGGAAATAGTTTTTCTACCTCATTTCAAAAGAAACCCTTTATATGTGGAAAAACATTTTGTTCTTCATAAGTTGAAACAAAACTGGTGTGATGTTTTTAGAAAACTTCTGCCCAGATTTTTATAACTGTGTGGAAAAGTCTGAATTTGATATGGCATAAACAGATTTATTTATTATTTTATGACATATTAAGATATTTATTTAAAAGACCCCACAAGTTGGAAATTGAATTAAATATCCAATACAAGTCATTTGAGTGTTTTCCCACAGAATGCAGCCTTCCACTGTTCAATATGGTAATGCAAGTAGATGATTAAGAAGATTTCATGTAGTTGCCATTTCAATCAATAGATTTAGGAAACATATGTGGTAATAATGATTTGGGACAGTATAACTTGAAGAGCATACCAGGAGAAAGAACAAAAAAAGACACAAAATTCAGAGAATGTTTTTAATTAATTGATTGATTGATTTTTGTGAATTTCTTTCTTCTTTTATTATTTTATAAATTTTTATGATGCTATTCACCATACACCTTTAGTTTTTGATGTAGTGTTTGATGATTCATTGTCTGTGTATAACACTAAGTGATCCATGCATTCCATGCCTTCCTTAATACCCATCACTGGGTCTTAAAATAATATTTATTGAAAAACTTTAAGAATAGTCTTTTTCATTAGAGGTGAAAATTCTGCCAATAGAAATAAATTTTAAGTTAAGTTATCTAGAAATAAGCCATCGAAAAAGCTGCCTATATGCATATATAATTATTAAGGTGTTGAAATATGGCTAATATGGCTGAGGAACTAAGTTAATTAGTTTTGATTAATTTAACTTTAAAACTGGTACTCAATTTAATTATTGAACATTAAAAAGTATGTTTGAAAATCCTAGGGCGACTGGGTGGTTCAGTCAATATGTCTGTCTTCAGCTCAGGTCATAATCCCAGAGTCCTGGAATCAAGCCCCACATCTGACTCCCTGCTCAGTGGGAAGACTGCTTCTCCCTCTCCCACTCTCTCTGCTTGTGTTTCCTCCCTTGCTGTTGCTCTGTCAAATAAATAAACAAAATCTTAAAAAAAGAACAATGAAGACTTAAGAATCAAAGAAAATATATATATTGCATTACTTTGCAACTGATTGTCTTTTTTCACATAAATAAATAAGTGGAACTACATGGAAGGAGTGAGATACAATTTGAATGGTAGCTCTGCATACAAAACACTATTTAAGATGATTCATTCTAAAGATAAAGGGAAATAGAGGTGTGGATGGAGTAGATGTTCAAGAAGATTGAAATTTTTTTTTTAATAATGCAAAACATAATAGTAACCTTCAAAGTCCATGGTA